CCTGCTTCGGGATCGTCCTGCCACGGCCCGAATAAGCCGGAGCCTGGTGGCAGCCATGGATCGGAAACAGAAGACACAGGGAGAAGCCTTCCTAGCAAGAAGGAGCGATCTGGGAAGTCCCACCGACACAAGAAGAAGAGGAAGCACAAAAAGTCCAGCAAACACAAACGGAAACACAAGGCTGACCCAGAAGACAAAAGCTCTAAGGTTGAGTCTGGGGAGAAGTCTAAGAAGCGCAAGAAACGAAAACGGAAGAAGAATAAGTCAGCCCCGGCAGATTCCGAACGGGGACCCAAACCAGAACCCCCTGGGAGTGGTAGCCCTGCTCCACCAAGAAGACGGCGGCGAGCCCAAGATGATTCCCAGCGGAGATCCCTCCCAGGTGAAGAAGGGAGCAGTGGCAAAAAGGATGAAAGTGGAGGTGGTGGCAGCTCTCAAGATCATGGTGGGAGGAAACATAAAGGTGAACCTCCAACTTCATCCTGCCAGCGAAGAGCTAGCACCAAACGGAGCAGCCGGTCCAGCCATCGGAGTCGACCCAGCAGTGGAGATGAGGATAGTGATGATGTTTCATCACGCCGGCTGCACCCGAAGTCTCCATCCCAATACAGTGAAGAGGAGGAGGAGGAGGAAGAGGAAGACTCGGGCAGTGAGCATTCCCATAGCCGCTCACGGTCTGGCCGGCGCCACTCCTCACACCGCTCCTCCCAGCGTTCTTACTCAAGTAGCTCAGAGGCTTCTTCAGACCAGAGCTGCTATAGCAGGCAGCACAGTTATTCTGATGACAGCTATAGTGACTATAGTGACCGATCGCGAAGGCACTCAAAGCGCTCCCATGACTCTGATGACTCAGACTACACCAGCTCCAAGCACCGGTCCAAACGGCACAAATATTCGTCTTCCGATGACTATAGCCTCAGTTGCAGCCAGTCCCGAAGCCGGTCTCGGAGTCATACCAGAGACCGCTCAAGATCCCGGGGCCGCAGCCGCAGCAGTAGTTGCAGCCGCAGCCGGAGCAAACGGAGAAGCCGTAGTACCACAGCCCACAGCTGGCAGCGAAGCCGCAGCTATAGCCGGGACCGCAGCCGCAGCACCAGAAGCCCTTCCCAAAGATCCGGCTCTAGGAAAGGATCATGGGGTCATGAGAGCCCTGAGGAGAGGCGTTCAGGTCGTCGAGACTTCATTCGCTCCAAAATCTACCGCTCCCAGTCTCCTCATTATTTCCGATCAGGTCGGGGAGAAGGCCATGAGAAAAAGGAAGATGGCAGAGGAGATGATAGTAAAGGGACAGGCCTACCCTCCCAGAACAGCAGTGTTAGCACAGGAAGGGGATCAGAGAGTGACTGCAGCCCTGAAGATAAGAACTCGCTCACTGCCAAACTTCTACTGGAGAAGATCCAGTCAAGGAAAGTGGAGAGGAAACTCAGTGTAAGTGAGGAGGTGCTGGCCACCCCAAATAAAGCTGGGCTCAAGCTCAAGGACCCCCCACAAGGTTACTTTGGGCCCAAGCTCCCCCCCTCTCTTGGCAATAAGCCTGTCCTTCCACTGATAGGGAAACTCCCAGCTACCCGAAAGCCCAACACCAAGAAATGTGAGGAGTCTGGCTTAGAAAGAGGGGAAGAGCAAGAACAGTCAGAGACAGAAGAAGGGCCTGCAGGGAATAGTGATGCCCCGTTTGGACATCAGTACCCCTCAGAGGAAACCGCTGGCCCCTTATCAGACCCACCTCCAGAAGAGCCAAAATCTGAAGAAGCTACTACTGCTAATCACCCTGTGGCTCCACTAGGCACCCCAGTGCACTCTGATTGCTTTCCTGGGGACCCAACCATCTCCCATAACTACCTCCCTGACCCCAGCGATGGGGACACCCTAGAATCCTTGGATAGTGGCAGTCAACCAGGCCCTGTGGAATCTAGCCTGCTGCCAATAGTGCCAGAACTTGAGCACTTCTCCAGTTATGCACCTCCCAGTGGGGAGCCTAGTATCGAGTCAGCTGATGGGGCAGAGGATGCTTCCCTGGCCCCCCTGGAAAGCCAGCCCATCACCTTCACCCCCGAGGAGATGGAGAAGTACAGCAAACTCCAGCAGGCTGCACAGCAGCACATCCAGCAGCAGCTTCTAGCCAAGCAAGTAAAGGCCTTTCCAGCCTCTGCGGCCCTGGCCCCAGCCACTCCAGCCCTGCAGCCCATCCACATTCAGCAGCCGGCCACAGCCTCTGCCACCTCCATCACAACTGTTCAGCATGCCATCCTACAGCATCATGCCGCAGCAGCTGCTGCTGCCATTGGCATTCACCCCCACCCTCATCCCCAGCCACTTGCCCAAGTACATCATATTCCCCAGCCCCACCTGACCCCCATTTCCTTATCCCACCTCACTCACTCAATCATCCCTGGCCACCCTGCCACCTTTCTCGCTAGCCATCCCATTCACATCATTCCTGCCTCAGCCATCCATCCCGGACCCTTCACCTTCCACCCTGTCCCACATGCTGCCCTCTATCCTACCCTCCTTGCCCCACGGCCTGCTGCAGCAGCTGCCACTGCCCTCCACCTTCACCCGCTTCTTCACCCCATCTTCTCAGGTCAGGACCTGCAGCACCCCCCTGGCCATGGCACATGAGTTGGGGATGAGAGCCCAGGTAGGACCAGGGAAGGTGACCCATAAGTCTTCCCTTGGGAGTGTTGAGCCATTAATACCAGCAAGTAGAAGCTGGGATGGGCAGTGTCTGATAGCCAAAGAATTGGGTTTTGGCTTGCAGGGGTGGTTTTAGATTTGAGGTTTGCTTTGGGTTCACTATCAGGGATTCCCCCGCCCCCCCTTTTCCTTGTATCCCTCCCCCTCCTGTGTTTCTAGACTAGGAAACACTAGTAAGTGCTACCCACCCCTCTGCAGCAACATTTCCAGATGGTCGAGTTTATATGCTCCCCTTCTCCCTCTACTGTTTAACCTCTGCTCTTCCCTTCTATACATTTTAAAACGTTTTTCTCCTCTCTGGCCGGCGGGTTGTCCATCTGATCCTGCCTTCCCAATGTCTGACCATCCCTTGGTAACCTTGTGTTCCCTGGGTGAGGTGGAAAGGGAGTCAGACCTGGAATCAGATGCTACTCTGTTTTTGGATCCACTTCCCACATAAAGAGCCACACGTTTGGCACTGATGTCCTCGTGTCCCTCATCCCAGAAGAGACATCGGACTATCCCAGAAAAGAAGATCCTATCATGATTACAAGCTATGCGGAACACAGTTTCTCATGTGCTTTCCCAGGGAGGAGCTTGTGTGTCTGAAGGGTGTATTTTCTTCTGTCATGTTGATGTTTCCTTCTTAATTTATAGGATTTTTTTAACGTAAAAAAATTGCACTGAACTCTATAAACGCAAATGCTGCTTTTTGTAGCTCATAAAAAAGGTTCCATATTTGTAGTATACTGCAATAATATTTTTTACATCTAGCTCTTTAAGTGATCCTTGTTCTGGTGGCTTTGTGTAAATATGTTTGCCTAGTTGAATTAAGAAACTAAAGGTTATAAGATGAAAGCAAAAAATAAAGTACTTGTTTTCTGCTAGATGCAAAAATGACTAAGCATGTATATTTTATCAAACTCATGTATTTTTTGAAGTTATGGACTATAAAAATGTCAGAGCAAAAAAGGAACATTGTTTAACATTTTTGCTGGGACAAAATGTCCAGTAATTTACATTAAGTGGTGCCCCCAGCACTGGGATGTTTGAACTAATGGGCACCAGTCAGCTGGGGGTCAGAGGAATGCTCAGTTATGGTGGTCTTCATATGCTTTGTTTTTGTTTTTTACAGAAAAACAGGTGGGCCCCACAGAGGAGGAAAACATTCAAGAGCTTTCTTTGAAAGCAGTGAGAGTCAGAGTGATTGGGGGTTTCTGATGCCTTGTTCTAGGCAGTCAGTCCATTTGCCTTCCTAGTACTTAGCCTCCTCTGATAATTTTTTGTGTTTTAATGTGCCTTTTTGGTTGGCTAGAAACAAGTAGAAGTAGATTGGGGGATGGTAGAGTTCCGTTTTCTTCCTCCTCTTGTTGGGACATGAGCACATTTATAGATACTGCAAATTCTTTTGCTTCATAGTTTCCATGCCTTCAGCCCAGTTTAGCTTAAGCAGTAAAGATTCCTTTTCTCTTCTGTGACACCATGGCACCTACCAGAGGAAATACCACCTCAATTCCTCTTCCTCTTCTTGCTTTTCACCCGGGTTCTCTTCCCTTCTATACATTTTAACACACACACTAATTAACACACTGACCCTAGAGTGTTTATATTGCAGTTCTCACCATCTTTAGTGTAATTAGCGGATCCCTGTTTGGCATTTCCCTGCCTATTCCTGTGGCTAGAATTGGTTGGGTGGTCACCTGACAGGAAAAACAAACCCTACTTACCTGGGCCAAGGCTCTGTTCTGCCTTTCTTCTCGAATTCCCCAATGGAAAAGGTTTTGAGTTTATGAGAAGCAAGTGCTGGACAAACAAGGCTCTTGACTGAGCCTCCTCCCTGTTAGTGCTCCTCACGTGGTTCAGAAGCATCACTTTTTTGAGAACTAGCACTGGAAAAATGAAATGTCTTTGACGTGAAGGGACTCATTTTTCTTTGCTTTCATGAAGCCCATGTAAATAATTTAAATAATACAGTATTAACATTTTTGTGCTATTTCCCTTCCCATTAGCTTGTAGATTGAGCCATACTCTGGCTGCCTCTGTCTTCCTGGGGCAGTTTTCTTTAACTTTCAGAATAGTGATTTTAAAACTAAAAAAAGTAAAGAAAAACAAAATAGCCTATCCTTCCTTACAAGCATAACAGATTGTATTTAACTTTATCGCATATGATAGAGATATATATGCTGTAAAATTAGGGAAAGGAACTTTCTAATAAACCAATGATTTGTGGAAACTTAGCAGAGTCTGTTGTGATTGTTGCCCCATCCATTCAACTTGGGAAAGGGTGGAGTTAAGGGCTACAAATAACACTTGTTTGAAGTGATCAAGGGATAGACTCTTGAGAACCAGTTTTTTATGATGTTTGGAATTATGCTTCTCAGAGCTCAGGCTGCCCAAGTAGAGAGAAAAGATGATGATGTGGGAGGACGTATAGTAAAGTTTCTCAGTCTTTGGTGGGTGCTTTGGAATGTGCACCTCTTTCTCACACGAATTTTCTATTTCTGCCTTACCTCTTAGGTATGTAATCTCTGTGTAATAGGGTATATGGCATGTAGGTGCTCACTAATAAGTAAGTGGGTTGGAATTTCTGTGTTTGATTTTTAAGATTTTGGATAAACTTCAGGGCAATGGAATTGCAAGAGTCATCTGCCTGGCCTTTTCCCTCCAGAAGTAGTTCTGTATACCAGAACCAGTCTTCAATTATTCTCCCCAACCCTTTAATACCAGTACAGTACTTGAGAGCTACCTGGTGAAAGGAATAGGCCTTGTTACTGAGCTGATAAAAGCCTCTACTGTATCAAAAAATCACAAAAAGTAAAGTTTAGCATTAAAGCTAGCCACATAGATTTGCAGGGATAAATTAGTTTCCTCTCTCTTCCTCAGTCTTTCAGGAAGGAGGAGTACAAGGTCTATTTCTTTCCTACTCATAACAGCTGTGTTCTCCCCTTGACTGAAGAGAAGCTATTCAACATGAACCTTGGGTTGGATGCTCAGATCTGCCTATTTTCCTAAAATAGCAAAATTCCTGCCCAGAAAGAAAGGATGTTAAAAAAATGAAAAGTAATGTTCTGAGCAGGCAAGGTGCCAGTGAAAGCAGCAGACTGGCCTGTAGAGAGTGCTCTGTGCAGCTGCCTGCCTCAGCCACCTGGGCTTGCAACATGGACATGCCTCTTCTGTACCCTCAGTGACTAATCCAGGCCTTGTCAACCATCTCCATTCTTATTTACCAGAGACACCTTCACTTCCCCGTTATCAATTCATATCTGAATGTCTGCAGCATTTCCTGGCCGACCTCCCTGACTCTTAGGATATAATTCTCTGTCCCATAAAAGCTTACTGGCTTTTCAGAATCTTGAGTGCAGTTCATTTTGCGTTCACTGCTTCCCAATAAAAAGTTCTGGGAGGATAGGGATTGGTTCTTATGCTTCCTTTTTTTTTCTTTTTCTTTTTTCTTAATTCCTTAGAGGGTTTTAACAGAGTTGAACACAAACATTTTGATTATATGTCCAAGAAAGATTTGAGCAAAGTAAACTGAGGATTTGTATGCATCAGAGTATAGAAAGGAAACCAAAGGTGATAAAATGTTTTTCTTTATACCCATTTCACCTAGCTCAGTGCCAGGCACATAGTAGAAGTTAATAATTGTGGACTCAATGAAGTCTTAGCAGAACTTTGAATTCATTGAGGGATCCTAGCACTGTTGGCTGATGGGACGGAGAAGTGGGAGCAGTGTGTCAGCAGCACTCCTGCCTGCTATCTCAGAAAGACTAACCCAGCTCTGACCCCAGAGGAACTCCCAGAACAGAATTCTTATTGAATACCACACTCCTCTCCCTTCCCAAATCCGGTGCTCCACCTGTACCCAATTTTAGTTACTGGTACCACTGTCCTACCAGCCAACAAGGCACCAAAGCTTCAAGTTACTTGACACTTCCCCACCACATCCAGTTACTGACTGTGTAATCTCTGCTGTCTCCCTTGTTCCTGCCATCTGTACCTGGGTTTAAGCCTCATCCATCACCTTTAAACCAAGAGGATTGCAGTTGCTCTCCATCTGATCTTCCCAGTAAGTTCTGCCTTTTCCAGTCCCTTCTATCCACAGTGTAATCGTCCAAATCGGAGCACAATTAGTATATCTCTTATTGTCTGACTTGAAAAATCTTCATGATTCTCCATCTTCAGATTAAAGTTCAAATTCCTCGATAAGGCATTCAAGGACTTCGAGTTATTTGACCCCAGCCTTTCATTCCACCCTAATGCCCACTCTGTCCTCATGCTCCAGTCCACCCTATCCTAAATCAACTACTTGCCCTTCCCTATAATTGACCTTTATGCACTGCCACTCTTGAAGAGATTCTCCGACAAGAGTGTAATGGATAAGAACATGGATTTTAGCCCTAGCCCGTTTGTCTCAGTGGGTAAAGCATTGTCCTGAGGACTGAGGGTCTCCGGTTTGATTCCGGTCAAGGGCACATGCCTCTGTTGCGGGCTAGATCCCCAATGGGGGGCCTGCAGTCAGCAGCTGATCAATGATTCTCATAGATGTTTCTCCCTCTCCCTCTTTGAAATCAAAATTTTATTTTTTAATATATTTTTTAAAAACATGATTTTAGCCCTGGCCTATTTGGTTCAGTGGATAGAGTGTCAGCCTGCAGACTGAAGGGTCCTGGGTTCAATTCCAGTCAAGGGCACATACCTCGGTTGCAGGCTCGATCCCCGGGGCACTTTCTGGAGGCGACCAATCGATGTGTCTCACATCAATATTTCTCTCTCGCTCCCTCCCTTCCACTCTCTGAAAATCAATGGGAAAAATATTCTCAGGTGAGGATTAACCAAGAAATAAAATCCTTTAGAAACAAACATGAATTTAAGCACAAACATATTTGAATCCACACATTGGCCGTGTAAACTTGGGCAATTTGCCTAAAACTCTGTGCCACAGTTTTTGGCATTTATGAAATGGGCATAATAGTACCTATTTCATAGGAGTTGTTATGAGGAGTATATGATATAAATGATTTCAGCTAGACATAATCACCCTTTTCAAGGCATGCTTTACTCTTCCCCTGCTGCAGTTGTGTGTTCATGTCTTAACTCCCTCTTTAAAGATCCTTGGTCAGGGACCTTTGTATCCCTTACTACTCAGTGCCTTGAACAGAATAAATACTTATTTAAAAACTTCAGTGAAATGTGACTTAATTTGGGGCTACACAGTATACACCAATAATTACAATACCGCTCAGTTGAGGTCAGTGGGAACGTGGTAGGTAAGTATAAAACTGAGTTAAGTATTCATTCTAATAGATGCATTACATGCCTACTATGGTCCTGGGACTGAGAAATCAGTGAAGAAGGCCTGGACTAAAATTTAAGGAGCTTCTAACCTAGTAAAGGGCAGGATTTTGAGCTTTGTGCTGAGATGGTGAATTAGGAGAAGGGAGGAGCCAAAGGGTTTCCACGATAAGATGGTTGCAATTGATCAGAAAATATAGAGCAAAAGGAGGATGTGGCCATGTTTCTGTTCCCCTGGCAGATCTTGAATTTCCTTCCTGAGAACCTATTTTTGGGGGGAGACATGTAGTGTCAATAAGACTTGGCACTCCTCTTGCTCACATCCACAGAAAATGACCTTGCCTTTCTACTCAAAACTATTCCTTCTCTTTCCACACGTTTGCATCTTTCATGCTCCGTGCACGCTCCATTCAGTCTGTCTTTCAGTAACACCTATTACAAGTTGGGCTCTCGGGTAGGCCCCAGACTACAGTAAAGAACCTTGCTCTCCAGGGATTCATGGACATGATCCAGTGAACAGGCCATGATAAACTGTGTTAATTCCAGGGTGCCAGCCTGAAGAGTTGGAGGCAGCTTCCTGTTGGCAATGACCCCACTAGAATCAGTTCTTGATGATTGGACAAGAGCTCTGTCACCAGAAAGAGTGAGGGGGCCTGCTTTCTACTGAACAGCTGGTGAATAATCACAAAGCCTATGAGCCAGAATACCCTGATCTGACTCCACTTTATCCCCATCTCCCTTCTCCCTTCAACCAAGACCCATTCGCCATCCCTTTCCCAGCCCTGGCTGCACTGCTTGACCACATTAAGACTTGGCCTGAGATGGAGGAAGAGTGAGGAAGTTGCTGCACCAATGTGACTGACTGAAGCTGCCCAAAGCCCTAAAAGGAAGTGGATAGGTGCCTTATCCAAGAGGGTACAGCAGCCCAGGTCTTATCAGGAGGCAGCAGCTTCCTTACTCCTTCCCCCACCACTAACCAAGTCATTATGTGCCACAGCAGTGCAGGCAGCTGTGTGGGAGGAAGAGGGGCCATAGAACTGGGGGCTAGAGTGGAGGTGTACAGACCAACTAGTTCATGGTTTTACTATCCCAAGCAGAGAGCCATGATGGCTTAGGCTTGCATGGTGGTAGTGGAAATGGCGTGAAGATTCAAGAGACATAGTTGAGAGGCAGAACCAAGAAGACGTGGTGATAAACTACTCTCAGGAAAAGGGAGGAGTCATGGAGTGGAGTCAGCATCCACCCCCAGGGTGGCCTCACCCCCTTCCCTTCCTGGCAATCCTAGAAACCAAATGGGTCCAGGGCCAACAGCCCTGTTTTCTGCCTACTGTTCAGTAAGTGGCTTCAGGTTTGATAAGAAAAGGCTTCCTGTGGTGGAACTGAAAGGAAGAGGAAGGAGTTAGTCCATTCCTCCCAAGAAGGTTGTGGGAGAAGGAACATGGCCAGAGCTTTGTGTCCACTTCATGCCCTCTGGCTGCTGGAGTGGGTGCAGATGCTCTTGGGACCCGGTGCTGCCCCTGCAGCCTGGGCCTTGAACCTGGACCCAGTGCGGCTCACCTTCTACACAGGCCCCAATGGCAGCCACTTTGGATTTTCACTGGACTTCTACAAGGACAGCCATGGGAGGTAAGCCCTGGGGGAAGTCTGGGTGTTGGGAGAAAGATTCTCCCCCCATTACTGCTTCTGTGGACCTCAGGTTCCCCATTGGTGATAGAGGTTGGGCAAAGTGACTTCTAGGGTCTATTTGGCTGAGTGCTTGTTAGGAATACTGGGAGGAACCTGCTCAGGCGAGGGTATCAGGAGGGGACACCAAAGAGGAGTTAGGCACTGAAACTACAGCAAAAACAAAGGCAAAGCAAAAGTTGATACCTTATTTTTTTTCTCCAAGGGTCACTTGTATGACCCACTCCACTGCCATCCCCTCAAAATACAGAGAGAAGTGCGAATGTCTTAAATTGACTTGCAAAACTGTAAAATGATCTACTCACCTTGCTTTTCCACTCCATTTCCCTGATCCCCATAAAAATTATAGATATTTGAGAAGAAGCAATAGAACATTAGTGCTTAGGATTAATCAGGCTGTGAGATCAGATTGCCAAGATCACAGTCCTGGTTCCTCCTCTTTATAATAAACTCCCCTGAGCTAGTTCCTTCTGGTGGTGGGCACTGTGCTACCCAGCTTTGGGGAGTGGCAATGGAAGACCGCATTCAAGCATCAGCCCGCGGGTGAATTTCCTCCGCTGAAGAGCCACCTCCCCCAAAGTCAATCCCCTTCCCAATGTGACCTACAACTAATGACTGATCAATGAGGAATATGGAGGGAGGTGACAGGTGTGAGGGTCCAACCAGAACTCTGAGGGTGTTTGTGTGGCCCATGGCTGTCATTGGGCTTGACCTAACCCCTTACGCACTTTTGCTTTTCTCCTTCTATCCACCATAGTGGTCTCATGGGCACTACTTAATGTGACCCAGGGTCCCCCAAGGGACACCCACCCACCTTCAGGGTAGTGCTCCCTGCGCGGGCACGGGGGTAACCCCGGAATCTGCTCCGTGCTCTCGCATTTTTTCTATACAGCGTGGCCATCGTGGTGGGCGCCCCGCGGATCCGAGGCCGCAGTCAAGAGGAGACTGGCGGCGTGTTCCTGTGCCCCTGGAGGGCCCAGGGCGGCCAGTGCTCGCCTCTGTCCTTCAACCTTAGTGAGTCCCAGGCAAGGAGGGGAAGGGAGGAGCTACGGGGAGCGCGCACAGCCGGACTTCATCGCCCCATCCCTCTTTGTGCCCTCCAGATGATGAGACCCGAACAGTAGGCTCCCAGACCTTCCAAACCTTCAAGCACCGGCAAGGACTAGGGGCGTCGGTTGTCGGCTGGAACGACAACATTGTGGTGGGCAACGCGGGACGGGACACCCCGAGAAGTCGGGGGCAGGGACACGTTAGGCGGGGGGAGGCCTGAGTCCGCCTCCTTCCCACTCTCCTGTGGCCCTGCCCAGGCCTGCGCCCCCTGGCAGCACTGGAACGTCGTGGATAAGACGGAGGAGGCCGAGAAGACGCCCGTGGGGGGCTGCTTCCTGGCCCAGCTGCAGAACGCGG